GCTGTACTGGGAGCAGCACCCCTTTCATGGGTTGAATGGTGGCTAGTGATTGAGAGTGGGCTTACTTTGTGCTGTATCTGATCCTGCACCCACGTTGGGACCCCCACCAGGTGTCGGAACTGCCAGCCTCTAGTCAATGGCCTCACCTCTGATACTTCCTTGGACCGCTTGCTACATGAGGGTGGTGCCCTCTCTGTGAGGCCTAGCAGGCAGTGAGGAAGGAAATGGGTGCTCACTGGGCCCCTCGGGGGTGGGTGCGGGCTAGGCCTGTATCATTGGCTCTGCCTCCTATGCCCATCTGGAAGAGTCAGAAGCAGGGGGCTTCAGGCCCCTCTCTCCTGGGCCTGGAGGGATCCCTGGGGGTCACAGCTTCCGGCACCCCTCCACCCAGTGTGAAGCTGGGCGTGAATTAAAAAGCTGATGAGTTCAAAGGTCCTTGGAATTCCACATAAAGTTAAACGGTAAAACAACCGATAAACCACATGTTCTTGGCTGACCCTTATGTCCTCAGAGAGTAGCTGAACGGGCCCAGTCCTCGGAGATGCCCTTGCAGTGTTTGTGGACATTTCTTCAGTTGGTGTGGCTGTCCACCACATGGAGCCCTGCAGAGAATTCCTCTGACCTTTCAGCACTTGGGGAGTGGTGTCCCGTGGTCTCTGTTTTTAAGCCAGTATGCAAATCACAGCCTAGGAAGGGGAGAGGTCTGCCCAAGGCACAGTGAGGGAGTGGGCATGACAGATCCAGGGGTCCTGGCTGGGAGAAGGAGAGAGAAGAACCAGGTACTTTGACACCCACTTGCTCATTTCTCCGGTCACACAGGCCCCTTGTTCAGAACCCATCCTGGGCTCCCCACGTGGGTCATGTGTGAACAACTGAGCCCTTGGCCAGGCAGGTGGGCATCTGTGAACTTCAGCTCATTACAGACCTCAGGGGGAAGTATGTGAGAGTTCATCGATGCTTCAACTTTGGCTCTAGGAAACTGTGTCCCCCAGGGTGTGGGGTAAAGGCAGTGTGACCCAGGGCCTGGTGCTTTGCACTGGTTCCACCCACCCAGTGTTTTGAGAAAACAGTTTGGCATTTAAGGTGGCCTCTGGTCTGACTTCAGAGGATCTGCAGGTTGTCTTTGCTGGGGGCACAGCCCTCTAGGCGTACCTTAGAGGAGGCCCAGGTTGGTGGAGGAGGCAAGGTCCATTGAGCTGAGCTGCCCCATGGCCAGGCCAGAACCTGGGCCAGCACCTACTGCCCAGGGTGCTTTGGGGTTACAGAAGTTCTGAATACATGAGAAGCCTAGTTTGTAATGGCCTTCCTGTAAGGGCATCCTGTAGTGACGGCGAGAAAAGCAATGAGTAGAGAATTGTCTCTGGGAATGACTTTCCTCTTCAGACGACCCAAATCCGCCATTCCTGGATCTGGGGGAGCTTCTGAGCTGGGTCCAGTCAACATTGGGAAAATATGTGCTCCGCCATGTTGCAGACTGGCTCTTGGTGCCTGGGGATGGGGTTTGCCATAACTGAGTCTGTGTTTCTCACAAGAAGTTGGCCTGCCGAAAGACTGATTTGAGTGCATTGCATAATTTTTATTTCTGATTGTAAAAGTTGAGTGTGTTAATGAAAGTTTGAGAAGCAGAAAAGTATTCAGAGAAAAGTTAGGAGGAAAATAAGTAACTTTAAATCCCACTACCCGCAAATCACCACTGTTAACTTTTTTGCCCATGCATGTTTTAATAAATGTTCTTCAATATGTGTTTTGAAGACAAAACTTAGGATTGTCCACACATGTCATTTTATGTTCTGCACATTGTCACTTTACCATTCGGTCAGGATCACATCTCCAAGATGCTGACTGACTTTCTGACCCGGCCTTTCTCGGCTGCCCAGTGCACCCTCATTTCTTTGTCTCCCGTGTCCTGATCGGAGGTTGGGTGGCTGTGGTACCTGCAGTGCTGTCCTCAGACAACCTGCCACTGGCATCGTCCACGGTGGGCTCCTCCCTATTGTTTTCACAACATAAACACCTGGGAGCCTGCGAGGGAAGGTGCATTTAGAGCAGATTGGCTTCTATAAGGGGAGAATGAGTCTGGCACCCACCAGCAGTGCATGAGCGCACCCGGTGCTGCACTGTGGCAGGGGGGTGTAATCAGATGTGCAGAAGGGCTTTGCAGTGAGCTATGTTCGCTAGTCGGATAACGTTTACACAACAAAGGCCCCAGGCTCACTGGTTCTTTACCTGAAGACCCTCAGACATCCTGCGGTATACTCCACCTCTGGACCCAGCCTCAGATACCAGGGGTCCCAAGATCTGTTAGGCTGGGGAAAGGTTTTTCTCATAGCTGTGCCCAGCCTGGGAAGCTGCTGTGGGAGCTTTTTCTCATCTTTGGAGCTCAGGCCACACCCAGGGGTCTCCATCCCTCTTTTTATCTCCTGTGTCCACGTGGGGCCCTCTGCACCTCCTGAGGGATGAGAACAAGAAAAGGCAGGCCTGGGCTCTGTGATTTCACCCCTGAAGCTCCCCTGGTTCCCAGCATCCTCAGCCCTAGTTCAGGGGCACAGCCGGGTGGCCAGGGTGGTGGCCAGCTGGGCGCTGAGCAGAGCGGCCCTGGGGAAGGGCCTCTGGGCACCTGCTTTGTCCTAAGTGCAGGACCCCCGTCCTCAGGTCTGGGGCATCTTTGTAGCCTGTTTCCAGGCTTCCATGTACATTAGTGAAAAGCTGTGTTACGTCCTGTGGACCCAAGCTGAGTACCCAAGGGAGTACAGGGAGGGCAGAGGGCATTGTTTCCAGGTCCCAGGCTGTGGATATCAAGATAGAATCCCAAGACCACAGGGCAGCGGAACCTGGAGTTCGTAGGGGAGGGCAGCTTCCTGACGGTGGAGCAGTAGCAAGGCTGGGCTGTCTTCCCTTGTTTATCTGCAGCCAGCCCATCTCAGGGTGATCAGGAGTCACAACTCCTGCCTCCCTCAGACCTGGGGCCTGGGCCCCTGCTCCCAGCCACGCCTTGCTGTGTCCAGGGCCCCTGGCCTCTGGCCGCTGGCCTCTGGCTCCTCCTCGTCTAAGTGTGTTGGTAGGCTTTCTGGAGGAGGAGGGGCTGCCGCGGGTGGGGGCAGGGACACTGGGCAGGGAGCTGGGCTCCAGGCGGCTCCACTGTTTGCTGGCTGTGTAACTTAGGGTGTTGCAGACCCTGGCTGTGCCCGATTTCCTGATCATTAGGCGACTTTACTGCATCATGTTAAAAGGCGAGCACAGGCTTGTAGCTCTGGTTACGTGGCGACACAGTTTCTGGGGGTTTTACAGCTGCTGGTAACAGCCCTCCCAAGAGTGGAATTCAAAACCAGGCACGTGCCTGGGGAGCCCGTCAGAGTCTTCCATAACCCACCGCTGTAGGTGCTCTTCTGGCTGCTGAGGGCTGGCTCAGAGGGGAACAGCAGCCAGTCCCTGTGGGAGGCGGGGAGCCCAGGGAGGGTCCTGGCCTGTGCAGAGTCCCTGCCATCTGGCCTGGCCCATCCCCCACCCCCGGTGGCTTGCCCAGGGTCTGACCTGGTCCCAGCAGAGGTTGGGCTACTTCCAGATTTGTTTTCATTTTCAATTCCCTTTATTGCTCAAACCACCTCAGGGCCACAGAAAACAAACCGTTATCCTCAGCTGACCTCAGATTCCTGGCCTCAATTGTTTGCCATTTGCTAATTTTAGCTTCTGATCATTTCCACCCTTATCCTCCCCCCCAAAGGGAGACACAGACCAAGAATAGCTGCCAGGAAGGGGGGCTGCGTGTTTGTGGCCAGGGTTCCCACAGTGATCTGGCAGCACGTGTGGGCATGCCTCACTGGAGCCAGCCTTCCCTACCTCAGGTGGGTGGGCCGGGGGGCCCTCAGCAGATGGGGATGCCCCCAGGTTCCCTCTTTGCCAAGGACTGTGTACCCATAGGGCACTAACATGCAGAAGAGAAGAGGGAGTCTTCTTTGAGTCTGTTTCTCCTTTTAAACAGAAACCAGGCCAGCTCTGGGAAGAACACCCCCATTGCCATGCCTAGCTTATAGACCCTTGGGAATCAGGACCTCCCCAGAGCGCCCAGACTCCAGGACCAAGTGGACACTCATATTCTGGGGTCAGTTGTGGTGCTTGGCTCTGGCAAGGCCCGAGAGACAGTGTCAGGCTGCAGGGCCTGTGTGGACAGACTACAATGGCAAGTCTAGGACACTGGCCCAGGCCTGCAGGTGTTTCCCAGCCCATGGGAAGGCAGGCAGAGGAACAGCTGACCGGACCCCAACTTGGGATGTGGGGAGCAGGCCTTGGGATAGCCAGAGGAGGGAAGAAATCCAGCGGGTAGAGTGGCCTCCAGGCTGGGCGTCAGCGTGGGGTTCTAGGCCATGGGCATACAGTTAAACTTCTGTGAGTGGGGACATCAGACAGGCACCTCGGCCAAGAGGAGCACGAGAGGAGCAGCATACCCTCAGCACCCCCTCCGCCCCAGCCTCAGTTTTCGAGGAAACCCCAGACACTGTATCAGGTTGTCCATTAATGTTTCAGTGCCGCACACTTTTAAATGAAAGTCCAACATGTCTAATCCTAGAATAACATGAATAAAATGTGGCCTAAAGAAAGCCAAAGTCTGAAGTCACCCTGGATGGTTGGTTAGAGTCAGGAAGGGGCATGGGTCTTCACCCGAGTCCCCTCTCACTGTCCCTAGTCTCATGTCAGAACTTTGTTGCCAGGTAGAAGGCGCCCAGGAAGTAACCATCTGTCAGTGTTGAACTATTCTGGACAGGTTTTTACAAAATCAAAAGCAACAATGTAAGCAATCAAAGGTGCTACTAGGATAGTCCGGGTAGGCAGGGAGGAGGCCGGGCTGCCCAGTGAGCTTTTCTCTCTTGAAGGAGGGCAGGAGGAGCAGGACTGGTGTGCCGTCCACACCCCTGGCAGCACCCACAGCCTCACACCATTCCCAGAGTGGGGTGGCCAGGACAGCAGGGTGGTTCTCTAAGGAAAGTTTTGGCTGCTGAGAATGTTACCCGGTCCCATTTTACATACTATTTTAACAATTTTATTAGAGTAATGCACACTATAATAAATGTAGCCCAAAGACCAAATTGTCCTGCATATTTTATTATGTGCCCCAGCATTCCTGGTCCTCCTCCCAGAGGCAGCCACTGTTGGCTTCTTCGACCGCCTTCTTTGATATTTCCTTCCTAGCTTTCCATCAGAAGGGGTTCTTCTCCATGTTGCATTTCCTCAAACGCACCCCTCTGGTTTTTTGTGGAGCCCAAAGGATGGTGTGGGAGGCAGTTTTTTTGAATATTCACGTGTCTGGAGTGTCTTGTTCCTGGTCTAGCACCTGGTTCACGTTGGCCTGGGTGTTAGGTCACAGGTCTCGTGTTTGCTCCGGAGTTTAGAGGGACTCTCTGCGCTGTCTTGGGTCTCCGATGTTGCTGCCAAGAAGACTGAAGCCATTCTGATTCCTGATTTCCTTCCCTGGAACTTCGGACTGCAGTCTTTACCCCAGGCTCCTGGGCCGAGCGGAGGTTTCCTGCAGTGGGCCCCTCGGTGCAGCCTCGAGAGCCCTCAGAGTCTGGGGCCCACCCTTGCTCTTGCTCCGGGTGATGGCCACCTCTGTGTCTCTGAAGTCTCTGGGATTTTCTGTCTGGACTGGAATTGTTGGGTTGACCACTCCATTTTCATGCCTTTTGCCTTCTCTCATCCGTCTTTCCATTTTCCATCTGCTTTTGGAGGGACTTTCCCAGCGTTCTCTTCCAACCCTCAAAGTGAGATTCAGTCTCTGCCATATTCTCCTGCTTTGTCTTCACTTTCAGACATGGGTTTGGGTCTCCTTTTTTTGAGGACCATCCAGTTGTGGCTTTACAGACTCATATCTTACCTCTGAGGATGAGTGACAGCTCTGGAAGTTTGCTTCGCCCCACGTGGTGCAGCCCCTGCATCCTCTGGGCCTTCTGCTTGCTGATCTCTCTTGTCCACTGGCGTCAGAGGCTTTTCTTGCTGTCTGATGACACTTAGTGTCTGGGATGCTGCCCAGAGGCTGGGAGCTGGTTGGGGGTCCCGGTGCACAGGGGTCTCAGTGACTCTCTGTCCCTCCCTGGGGGTGTAGCCCTTCTCGGGGAGCCAGGCAGGGAGACTGCTGGACATGGCAACATGGTCTAGCAGGCTGTTCCTCAAGCCCCCGTCCAAGAGGCTGCCCTGCCCTGAACCCTGTCTGGGGTCCCTAGTCCTGAGCTCCCGCCTCTGCTGCCCTGCTCAGACAGGAACTGGTCTTTGGCAAGCGCAGGAAGGGCAGCAGCCATATGTGAGGCAGGGAGGTCACCATGCTGTGTCCACCACTTCTCTAATTAATGTTCAGGTGCCCCCTCTTTTAGCCCCACTGCACCCCCCCAACCAGGCAGTACTGGTCCTTTGCAGGGGTGGAGGTCATGTTTTACAGAGTAATAAGAGCTGCTTCTTTGCTTTCTCTAACATCTTGCTAATTTCCAGCTTCCCAATGATTATCTCCCTTCACTTTGTCCTTTAAATCCTTTTCTTTCATTTTAAAGGGATCTGGGGATGGGGAGGTGGTGAGCTGCCATCTTTTTCCAAAGTGCCCATTTGGCATTTGGTCTAGGGTAGGAAGTTCTGGGTTGGGGTGGGAGTAAGATGAGGCCCTCCCCTTGTCAGCGAGAGAACCCCTTCCCAGCACAGGCTCTCAGCGCTGTGGTAGGCTGTGCTGTTCCAGCCCCTAGTTAGCCAGTGGCCTCTTTTTGTTCCTGTCCAGTGATGTTATCCAGAAATTATACAGCCAGAGCTTCAGTGAGCAGTATTCTGGGAGCAGTAGCTCACCAGAAGACATTTGTGCAGGGGAAGGAGAAAGGCTAACCCCGAGATTGGCAGGCTTTGGCTTGTTTTTCTCAGGTTACAGGTCCTGATGTGGGTATCCAGGACTGGTGTGCTGCTCCAGGGCACCACCCAGGACTCAGGCTCATTGTCTCTTTCTCTTCAGTCATTGTTGGTATATGGATTTAGCCAGTCGTTCCACCCCGTGACTGTATGACACCTACTGCTCCTACAAGATTGGAACATACTCCAGGCAGAAAGAAGGGCAAGGGCAAAGGGCAGAGGGAAACACACCCAGTGGCTTATCTAGAACTCAATGGCCAGAATCCATTCCCAAAACCAGTGACAGCTGAGGGGAGTCAGGGAGGGAGCATTCCTACCTGTGCTTTGCTGTTGGGAGCTGAAGTCACATTCTCCAGGAAGAGAAGACGTGGAGCATGGTGCTGGGCCACATGCCCTAGTTGTCACTGCCACAGTTGCTGGGTGGCTCCCATGTGTTTGTGCTCGAGGTGGGCAGTCATTCATCAGGGAAATATCCAGTTGGCAAAGGTGACCATTGTGTGGGCCAGTGTCCCAAAGCATTTGAGGAGCCTCAGAAATCACTGACTTTCTCCAGCAACTGAGCTGTATTAACTATTTGCATTCTCTTGGAAGTACTGACTTACTCAGAAATGGGCTACATAGTCACCTCTGTAGTGATCGAAAGTGTGAGTCAAATGGGTTTTCTATAATTCATTATCTGAACTACAGTCATCATGCCTTAGGCTTCTGAGGGCTTTTGTAGTTTCACAGACTCTCCTTGTTTTCCAGGACCTTGACAGTTCTAAAGGGTGGTAGCCAGGTAGTTGTAGAATGTCCCTCAGTTTGCACTTGCCTGATGTCTTTTTTGTGCATAGACTGGTGTATGGCTTTTGGGGACCAGTACTGCAGTGGTGAAGTGCCCTTCCTGTCCCCTCACATCTCCTGTTGGTAAGTGGGAAGATGCTGTCCACGTGACTTACCCCTGATGTTTATTTTGTTGCCCAAACGGTTGAGGCTTGGCCAGGAACTCTGGTCAGGTTGACTTCTGCAGCCTTTTGCCCCCATCATTGGTTTTTTGTGTACTTCCTTACTTCCTGGCATCACAAGATGCTTCAGGCTTATCTTGTACTTTTCCTGCTGTAGTCTTAGGATCAGTCATTTCTCCAAAGATCCCTGTTTCCTTTATTGGAAAATGGCATCTAGAAACCAAGGTCTCGGCGCTGGGTGTGTTCCTTGCTCCTGGAGTGTTGCTGCTTCAGACCCAGTGGACAGAGCTCATACGTGTGTGTACCAGCCCATTTACACACACATGCCTTTAATCATCTCCTTGCCCCTCGGTATGCACGCAGGACTAAACATGAGATCACACCAATGTTGACTTTGGGGCAGTCCCTCAGGAAGGGCACATTCTCACTCACCCCTTGCTGGTCTGTAAGTTACCTCTCCCAGAGTGAGAGACAGCTCCCACCAGCTGCTGTGCAGTAGTCACCTGTTGGTTTAGCCACAGCATCCATGTGAAGCAGTTTCAGAATTGTTAACGCACATTCTCATGAGAAATGAGAGCATATTTAAGTATAGTTCCTTTTGTCTGTAATCTTTCAGTTTCTAGTCAAACCACCATTTTCCCAAATTCCTTAGGTCAGCTTCTTTTACCCACCCCCTCCTAAGAGGCCAGGTCTTACATTTGTCATCCAGTCAGAGACCCCAGCTTCCTTTACATGTTAAGTCTTTGCATATGTTAAAGTGCATTCTGTGGTGCACAGTCCTGTAGGTTTTGACCCAAGTAGAATCTGGTATCTGCCACCCCAGGGACATGCAGAACAGTTCCATTACCCTAAAAATCCCCCTTGTGGTCAACTGTTCCCTGATCCCCAACCCCTGCTGTGTTTTCTGTCCTTACAGTTTTGCTCTTGACAGAATGTCATATGACAAGAGTCATACAATATATAGACTTTTGGGTCTAGCTTCTTTGACTTAGCAAAATGCATTTAAGAGTCATCCATTTTTGTGTGTGTGAATCAATAGCTCCTTCCTTTTCATCACTGAATAGTATTCCATTGTATGGATACACCACCACTTCACCTATAGAAAGTGCTTGCCTCCAGTTTTTGCTGAATGTGAGTAAAGGTGCTATATTAAACATTTGTGGATGGGTTTTCAGTTCACTTGGTAAATGCCTAGGAGTAGGATTGCCCAGTTGTACAGTGACATTTCTAACTTCATAAGAAACCGCCAAACTCATTGAGTGTGGTGTCCTCTCCTCATTTACTCCGCCTGTCTCTAATGACAAATGATATGGAGCATCTTTTCACCATAGATGTTTGCCATCTATCTTCTTTGGCTGAGTTCACACTTTTTGTTCATTTTTAAAATCAGGTGTTTGCTTATTGCTGAGATTTGTGAGTTCTTTATTCTGGATATGAGTTGCTTTTACTTTTGATCAGCCTCAAATGAAGAACATTTTTTATCAAGTGAACAAATCTGGATCATTAATTGCGGATTCCAAACTCATGTCCTTGCTTTTCCTTATTTTTGGAGAAAATTGCTGAAAAGACCTATTGAAGCATCTGTTACTCCTGAGCTGTCAGCGCTGGGTGGACAGTATGTCTAAGATTCCCAGAGCAGGGTTGTTGATGAAGCTCTGGCTCCTGAAGCAGGGGAGTGTTTCCTTCAAGATTGCAAAGAAAAGGGGGGTAAGGGAGCTTGATGTGAGTCACTCCATTCAGCTCAGAAAAAGTGCTGCTGGAACAGAAAGGAAAAAAATGGAAATGCCTGTTTTTTAGGCTCAGCTCACGAGTCCACTCATAGCATTTGATTACCTTTGTGTGTAGCAGTCCAACATCTGAAAACTTTTGGGGGGTGAGAGTCAATATACCTCCCCCTGCATGTCCCTTCAGGAAAAGCGCACACACACGAGTGCATGCGTGCGTGCGTGTGTGTGTGTGTGTGTGTGAAGGGGAGACAGAGAGAAAGTCCTGAGTGCCTTTGGGGTGGCTTCTGGCTACCTGCTGGCAGAAACCTTCGCTATTTTATTATTGCTGTTTTAAAGGGACCTTGGGAACGGAAATTTTCAAATGTGTTTTGTAACCCTTAGCAAAAGAAGGGGAAACGCCTTTATGAAATTCCTGGCATGTGGTCCTTTTGACCTTTCCAGGCACAAGCACCCATGCGTGTAAATGAATGCTGCTGTGCTCTGTCATCAGAAGCCAGAAGTGCTAGGTTCTGAGGAAGCAGGCCCAGTTAGTGAGTTGGAGTTTAGGTGACACCATTATTATTTTTCAATAGACATTTGTGATATCTATACATATGTATCTACACATGTATGACTGTATGTGCATACAACTTTGTGAGTTAACATACTACATTCTTTCCAAATGCATAAAGCAGTTCAATGGAAAGTATAGGAATGCTGAAAGGACAGTCTGAGTAAATTCTGCCTTCCCAAGATGACGGCTGTGTTTCCTTCCTGCAGTTACTGCTCTGCAGCATATGCTTTGGGACAGTGGGCCTCAGCTGCTCTGGTGGTCCATTTTCTTGGTTGGTCCATGTGAATGGGAATGCATATTAAGTGGGCCCCTGTTTGGTGATTCATGAGGACATTAGAGACAGCTGGGCAGCTGCCCTGTCCACCCTCCCCTTGTCCACTCACCCCACCCAACATGTGAAGCTTGGTTCCAGTGACCTTGGAGGTGACACAAGGAACGCTGAATCCTGCATGCCCCACCTTGGGGTCCTGGGGGAAGGAGTCAGGGTACATGACAGGACCTGCCCCAGGCAGCTTGTCCCAGCCTTCTCCAGGCCTCCCTTGGTATCAGGCAGCCTTGTGTCATGGAGTCCCCTGCAACACTGCTGAGGAAGGGGACATTCACCCCTGGGGCTTCTGGGAGGCTTTGTGGTGAGGAAGGTGGAGGTGCAGAATGGCATCTAGCTTTTCTTCCCGACTGGGGTCCCCAGGGTCCCCAAAAGACCTGTTCCAGACTGACTGGAGACTAGGTAGGGTGTGAGAAGGAAGGGATGGGCTCAAAGCCTGTGCCAGGGAAGGGGCTAGCCTGTGTCCCTGGAGCCTGAAAGACCCCCTGGGAGCCCTTCCTTCTCCACAGCAGTGAGGACTTCTTCCGGTGGGGAGGGGGCTGGGAGCGAGGGCAGCATGTGTGTAGACCAGGAAGCACCTGGACAGAACTCAGGTTCACTGAGGGGTGAGGCCTCCAGCTTGCTGCTCCAGTGACTGTTCTCTGTGGTGGTTTTTCGAACAAAACAGTTTTCCCAAAACACACCGGGTATAAATTGTTCCAAGGGGCTGAAGCAACTGTCTGGTGACCTGGACTCTCGAAGGAGAGGCCTCAGGAGCTTTCCTGGGCTCTCCGGGGTCTGGAGCAGATTCTCCACCGTTTTGAACTGTTCTGGAAAAGGTAGGTCAGCTGCACCCCCATATCTGAGATGGATTTCATCTTGACACCCTCCTGTCTCTCAGGGTTTGTGGTGTCACATGAGCTTGCCTGTGTCAAAAGCAAAAGCTGCATACCTGCCAAGCTGTGTGTTTGCAGATGTCTGTGCCTAGATCGTATCACAACTGGAGTGACTGTAGCCGCGCTGGGTCCCCACTGGCAAGGCCCACCCAGGTGGCAGAGGGGAGAGGACCAAAGTGAGGAAATAAAGACTGGGGAGGGGGAGATGCCGGAAGAGGAAGTGGGGCAGATGGTTACCCAAGGCTCTGCAGAGGGGCCCCTCCCTTGCTTGCCCAGAGAGCCTGGGGTGCAGGGCAGGGCGGCTGGCAGTGCGCACTGGCAGATGGCCGCAGGAAGGGAATCTGACCCGCTGCCTGCCCTCTCCCTGGGGCACTGGCTGAGCTGTCAGCGGTGGTAGGGGTGGTGGGGTGGCCTCAGGTTCGCTGAGGGCCTGTCCCTGTCAAGGAGCAGTTTGACTTCTCTGAGTGTTTGAGGATCTGCCCCTGTAGGCATCAGTGACTGGAGCACCCCTGAACATCACAGCCCAGCCAGCAAGCACCCACCTCCAGCACACCTCACGCCCTGCTGTTTGCTCTCTTCTCCTCTTTCCTTTTCCTTTTTTTGGTACAAGAGAAAACCTTTCCCAGAAGCTTGCTCAAGTTTCCTAGTTGTGGCCTCCTCACCAGTCCCTGGCAGAGGGGACCAGTTCTCCTGCTTTGAACTTGTAGTCTGAGTCCTGATAGCTGCATGACCTCCCCTAGATTGTGAGGGGAGGAAGGGCTGAAGCCTGCACCATCCACCCAGTCTGGTTCTCAACAGATAGTCATGTGAGGGTGGACAAAGCAATTTTTATGACTGGAGCATGGTATTCAGGAGCCTGGAGGGGCCTTGAACATGTAATTACAACCCTGAGTCTGCTGCTGTTCAGACTCCTCCCCCTTGTCTTTTAAGTCAGGCCAGGTCTGTCAGACCGTTTATCAGGGAGTGCCCTCCAACAGAGCAATTTGCAGTGTGACCCAGGGACTCTTGAGCCCTGGAGTCCTGCCCTGGGACACCTTCTAGAAAGGTAGATTAGACTTTATTGCTACTCTGAGTTTCTCCTACTCCACGGTGCTCCTACGCCCCCTGTCCCGCTGCCACATTCTGAGGAAACCTGTTTAAAGAGGAGCTTTTGGGGTAGTATTTGGATGTGCTGAGGAATATGCAAGGCCATGTGGACTGAATGGGTCTGCCCAGGAATGCACAGTGTTGTTCTTTTAATGCCTGTTTTTTAGTATTATTTATGGTTAGCATTTCCTAGTTTGCTATGATTAAAAAAATTTTTTTTGAATAGTAATTACATTTGTGTGTTCAAAATCCTAGAGGATTAAATAGTTTTCGAAGGAAAATTCTCCCAACCCCACCCACCCTCTGGAGGATGGTTCTGTGTATACGCATGACTGCATGTATGTATATTCCCTGTTTATTCTCCTGTGTCATGTATCCTGCTCTGAAGCTTGCTTTCGGCACCCAGCAGTGCCACTTAGCGATCTCCCATAGCAGTTCAGGAAGAGCTTGTTCTGCCTCCTCTCCACAGTACTCGGGGTTCCATAATTTATTTTACGTACCTCCATGTAAGGACACGCGTTCTGAGGCTTTTGCTGCATTGAATAATCAGGCCTATATCCCATTTTGTAGGTGTGCACATGCGTTTGTGGAATAGGTTCCCAAAGTTGGTTTGTGGGGTCAGAATTTTTGTAGGTATCACCCAGTCACCCACCACAGAGGTTGTGACAAGCTGTCTTTCTGTCAGTGAAGTGTTCCCCCAGCCTCACCTCCCTGGTAGGTAAGCAGCCAGATTTCAGTGGGGTCTGGTTAGCGTTTGTCTCTCAGTGGGCAAGGCTAAGCATCTTTCAGATGTTTGAGTCATTCCATTTCCTTTTGATCACCTGTCTAGTGTAGCCTTTGCCATCTTCTGTTGGGCATTGGTTTTTCCCTTTAATTCTGTGAGCTCTTCCTATGTTGGAGGCTAGTGTTTTGTGATAGATGAGCTGCACATATTTTTTTCTCAGTTTGTCATTTATCTTTTGCCTTTGCTTATGGTGACTTTCTCCATGGAGAAGTACTTTGTGCTTTTGTAATCAGGTTTATCAATCTTTTCATTTATGGCTTCTGGGCTTTGATTCATAGGAAGACTTTCTGTCCTTACATCATAAAGGGGTATTCTCATGTTTTCTCCTTGAACATCTATGGTTTCATTTTCCACATTTAAATCTTTAACCCGTTTGGAATTTATCCTGGTGTGAAGCATGGACCTTACTTTCTTCCCAGATGCTACTTAGTTGTCCAAACACATATTTTGGACCCGCTCCCCCAACTCCATCTGAGATGTTACTTTATGCTAAACATGGGGTCCCACTGTCTTTGAGTCTAATTCCTGCATCTCTGCTCTGCCCCACTGGCCAGTTGCCAAGCTTATGGGATGGTATGTTGGATATCTGGTGGTCTGGTTCCCCTCCCACCATTGTTGTTGTTGTTGTTTTTTTCAGAGTTCTTTCTATTTGTTTATCTTCATGAATTTTAAAATCAAGTTATCCTATTCCAAAGCAAAGCAAAGCAACAATAAAAACGTCTATTTTAAAAATACACTTGGATCCAGTGTAGAAGTGAGGAGACACACATGTCTGCAAAAGGCATGTTTTCTTGTTTCAGCAGCACCCCTGAGGCTGTATGTAACAGTCTCCAGCCCAGCGCCACCTCCCTTCATGTCCCGCCAGCTCCAGCATGTGCAAGAGTGACAGGGAGCATGTGATCAGTAACACACGTGCACCCACAACAGCACCAGTCCAGAGCACCCTGGGCCGGGGCCAGGACCAGGGCCTGGGCGAGCCCTGCCTGGTGTGGGGCTTCCACTTGCAACTGGTGGTTCTTGCCACGGTTGTTTGCTGCTAGCTTGCTCACACAAGCACTGCTCAGGAGCCCTACTGGCGATAACTGCGTATCTCCTATTAGCAGGTGTCTTCTCCCACTTACCCTCACAGTGACTGGGCAACAGGCTAGAGGACACTCCTGGGGCTGTCAGTAAACGAATAGGAGCGCAGGAGTGGGGCCAGGGCAGCGCTGCTCAGTGCAGGGCTGCTTCCACGCAGAAAGCTCCTGCTGCTACAGCTGAGTCTTAGGTCAAGAGGGGTTCCTGCTGAGTGGCAGCTCTCTCTCCTCCTGGGCTTCACCCCCGTCACCTGTACCATGGTGGGTAAGAACTTCCATCCTGGACTTCCTGGGAGATGGGACATCTGCGTGTCACCTCCACATGAGTCTTTAAACCAGCATTTTCAGTGACCAGTAGAGCAGCGAATGGCCTTCTAAATAAAGTAATGAAGCCTGTTCCCCACCACAGACAGGACATTTTGCTGACCCCAAGGCTATTGTGCGCCTGGGTTTCCTTGGAGGCTGGCCATTGATCAGCCCCAGTGGCTGATATCTGCCAAGCTGCCCCAGAGCAGGAGGGTGAGCAGGATTCCCTGGAGTGGAGAACATGGCAGTCTTGAGGCTGGAGCTGGACGTGACTTCATGCCAGTGGCCACAGACCAGAGCTACCTGTTGATGAATGACAGCCCGCTCACTGGTGGTGCATAGCCAGAGCCTGGGCACTGGGACCTGGGAGCAGGGAAAAGCTGTTTCTCTGTAGTGGTCCTCCCTGTGCCTCCCTCTGTCTGGTCAGCCCTGCTCCTCACCGTCCTCTCACAGATACACATACCCATGTGGATTCCTTGTGCTTAGTGAGGTCTGGTCATGTGATCCTGGGCACCCTGGTGAATTGATAGATCCATCTGCCCTTCTCTTTAGGGTGCCCCTGGTCAGAGATGCATCCCCTCCCACCTCTCTCATATGACCAGGAGCTCAGCCAAGCTTCCCAGAGCCCTGGCTGGTGCAGCTAGCCAACGCTGAGAGGAGCCCACAGGAGGCCATGGGCACCAGCTGGTGGTGGGGGTGGGGTGGGGCGCTCACTGCCCACAGGCAGGAAAAACCCTAGTCTGCACAGTTCTGGCCCCCACTAAGTGCAAGACACTAGGGAGACTGCAAAAAAAGCCCCCTTCCCCCCACTGCCCACAAGGCGCTTACAGAAAAGAACAGCCATGACAGTTTGTGCAGGAGCTGCTGGAACAGCAGGGACCCACTCACCTTTTGGGGGCTGGCAGTGTGGCCAGTGATGATAGCACGATTGCGATAAACACTGCCAGCGATGATAGCATGATTGCGATAATTGGGAGCACACCCTTTGGACAGGAGGGCAAAACGGGAGGGCGTTTCACTGCAGCCCAAGGCTGAGCTGAGTCTGAGCTGGAACAGGCACAGTTCTGAGCCAGTGCAGGTGCGGCCGGGGGCAGGGACAGGGGCGGGGTCGCGGGGAGAGAGGAGAGCCCCTGCTCCCCGCCGGGCCCCTTGCGGCTTTGGGGAAGGGAACACACCGTCCCCACCCCTGCCTGGGGCTTGGGCAAGAGGAGTGTGTGGCACGCAGAGTACCCTGATAAGATGAGGCAATCGCTCTCGGCCGCCTCGCAGCGGCGCCAGGGAACATTTATGTAACCCGTGCACCCTCCGTCGGGGCGCCCCCACCGCCCAGCACGTCCCTGTCCTGCGCCCACCAGTTACTCCCTGCCCTGCGTCCCATGCTCCCCCCAGGTCGGCTCTCTCAGGTTTGCCCACCCTGAGCAGGGCCTGGCCCCTCCCCCAAACCCAGAGTTCCCAAGCCCCCCACCACCACAGTGATCCAGATCCTTCCCAGCTTCTCTCTCCACTCCCAGTGCACCCAGCACCCCGCGAGACTTAACTTCGGCCCCCTTCCTCTCCCTGCCTCCCCACAAGGCCCCTCACTATCTGGCTCCACACCCCTCCCCCATATCTCTAGTCGTGGGCCCCTGTAGCCCTCCCCTGTTTTGAAAGCGAGGGTAGCTTGTGGAGTGGGCCCATCCCAGGCCCGGGGCACGCTGCAGGAGGGCCTAGTTCCAGGGTTCTGGGAGCTGGGGTCGGGTTTCCCTTCCTGAGAGGTACTGAGGCTGTCTCCCTGTCTCATGCCCAGGAGAAGGCGGATGCAGAATTTACTCGAGTAGGAAGAAAACTCAGGTTTGTTTCATCTGGTGGGCCGACTCGCCTGGGCCTGCTGGGCCCCCCGCCCTGCTCTGGGTGCACTCCCCGTCTCCCCGTCAACCACGCAGCCCAGCCGCACCGCCCTGGTGTCAGGCCCTACAAGAGCCGTTTTCAAAGTGAGGCCCAGGGACCACCTGTAGGTACCCAAGACCCTCTCAGAGGGCATGAGGTCAAAGCTGCTTTCATAACAGTGACATTTTTTGTCTTTCATTCTCTCAGAAGAATACAGTGGAATATTCCAGAGGCTACATGATATGTGATGACATCATGCCTCTGACAGCTACTGAAATATGTGCTTGAGCTTAAATTTTTTTCAGGTTTAATTTCTGATATAAATATCAATGGGCATAACCCACATAATCCTTACTACAAGTGTGACAGGGCTGTCCTGGAGGACTCTGTCCCCTTGCCCAGGTTGCACTTCCCAGCCAATTTTCCATTCTCCCATCTGCTCCCTGTCAGCCTGCTGGGCACCCCTCAGACACCAGCGCCCAGCCCGGCCAGCTCCAGTGTTGCCCCTTGCCAGCATGAATCATAACTTCAAAATGTTTTATCCGTCTGTGGACCCGCTTCTTGGCCGTCTCCCCTTCTGGAACTGGCTGGCAGAGGTGGAGAGAATGAAGCAGGGAGGACCCACCCTGTCTGTCTGCGTCACGACCGTATCCCCAGGGCTGGGCATCGGGTTTGTGCTCAGTCAGTGTTGAGCTGCTGATGCCTAGATAGGCCAAGAGCTGTGTGCTGGCAACTGGTGACGCCGGGCTTTCCCCAGTGTCTGCTCCTCCAGGCTGCCTGGCACCAGCCTTCCATCCTGCTGGGTGCTGCAGTCCGCAGGTCCCAGTGTCACGGACCCATCTGTAATACCTCAGGTGCCTCCCAGAGTTGCAAGCAGAAGGACCCTGAAAAGGACAAGTCCCCAGCAAGGGCCCAGGGCCTGTTAGGAAGCAAGGGTGAATCTGAATTTGGATTGCCCTCCCTCCCCGACCAGCGCCCCACATTTGAGAAGACCTAGTTGACAAGAATAATGGATAAAAGCAACAATAATAGGTAACATTTCAAGAGCGAGTAAGCATCTGGCATGTGCCAGGCACAGTGCCGACTGCCGGCTGTGTGCAGCCTGTGGAATCACCGTGTGGACCCCATCTGAGGATGGGCAGTACGTTTATTTCCTGTGGCTGCTGTAACAAATGAGCACAAGCTGGCTGGCTTAAAAACTCTCACTGTTTTCGAGGGCAGAAGTCTGAAATGAAGATGTTGGCAGTGTCAGTTCCCTCTGGGGGCTCTGCAGGAGAATCTATTTCATGTTTCTCCCCTAGCTTCTGGTGGCTGCCTACAGTCCTTAGAGTTCCTTGACTTAGACACATTTCTCTCTCTCTAATCTCTTCCTCTGTCATCTCATGTCTTCTTCTCTGTCTCCTTTTCCCTTTTTTTCTTTTCCAAGGTTACCACATCTCAAGATCTTTAATTCTATCTGCAAAGACCCTTTTTCCAGACAAGGCAGGCCAAATTCACAGGTTCCAGTGATCAGGATTTGGACTTGTCTTTTGGGGGCCATTGCTTACCTCACTACAGGCATTAAGGTACTTGTCTGAGCCCACACCATCAAAACACTATGGAAACAGGGGCAGAGCTTCATCTTCCAGACTTGATGTATACTAAGCTCTTAAACTAGCACCTGTCCACAAAAAATGAAACCAATTCTATTTAATGCTGGGCCTTCCCGAGCATTTAATGACAGTGTGCAGCCTGAATCTCCTAGAGTGAAATAAGCATGCAGCATATCTCAAACATTTTTGTTCACAAGATTTTTTTTCCCCTAGAACCAGTTAACAGTTTATTCATTTCTAACATTTCTTTGAACATGGTTTGGGAAATGTTGGGCTGGATAGTTAAAGAATTATATTAAAACATTCCTTTTTATTTTTATCAATGAAATAAATGCATATGATTTTTTTTTAAGGGAAGATAACACAGAACTTGGACCAAAAAAATATCCTCTTCCCAATCTAGCTTCACTCAGAGACCAGCATGGCTCTGATTTTAGTTGTCTTGGTAGCTACTGCCATAAATTAACTATATGATTTTATTACTGTTTCTTGATTTTTCAAATTTAAATAGTATTATTTTCCTACCATGAAAGTTAAGAATCTACCTCATTCCTGTCCCTCCTCCCCACCTCTCCTAAATTGATGGATACATCATTATTTTAATTCTTTTGTTGATTATTCTTATAACTTTACCCTAAGTTAGATATTTCCTTTGACTCTGCATGTTTGTGTTACTGCCTTTCCCTTAAATTCATGTTCTCTACCAGGGGCCATTAGTTAGTAGTATGGACTTTGTCTATGAAATTGATTATACACACTGACAATTATTGCTAGGGTTCACATGACCATGACTGTAGATTGCTTTTGTATGCCAGAGCCTGTCCTGGTATTATGTTCCCTTCTGGTGACTCCGGAGGTTTTTAGGGAAGATAAATAATGTAACATATGAAAATCCCCTAGAACAGAGCAGTGCTTGGCTTAGAGCTCTTTCTTGATTGCTCATAATGATGTAGCATTTTAGTTTGCTTCTAATTTAGACCACAGTTTTCTTGCATGCCTTCAGTTTTTCCTGGAGTTTCTAATTGCCTCCTTTTTTCTTTTAAACAAAGACTATATGCTTTCACAGTGTTCATAAGTTTATTCATACTGTCTGGTGCATGGAACTCACTTACCTCTTAGAATCATGCCCCCTGTGAGTCTGGCCCTCTGTTCCAGTAGCCACTCTCCCCAACCCCCAGTGCCCCCAACTGGGTCTCTATCTCATTCTTGTCCTGAGATGCTCCTTCATCATTCACTCACTTCCTTGGCTTCTCAGTTTGTTTGTTTTCTCATTTTTGCATGAGTGTGAGATGTAAACTTGGAAGGCCATACTACTCTAGCATCCAGTGCAACCCTAAGAGGTCTGGTGTCTGGCCCAGCCTCATTCCCTCATGAATAACTTGGTGTTTGTTTCTTCCTTCTCTCTGTTAAATTTTGTGATGTCTTCTTTTTACCCAGTATTCTGACTTTGCAGAAGTTCTTGCAGCAGGAGCCTTTACTTCTACCCTGTCCACCTCTGTGCCAACCTTTTCTACATTCGTTTCCAGTCTCCTCCTCCTCTCTTTGAAAGATTCTGTTTTACTGCTTCTTTGATAATTTCCTCTCCTCTATTTTTTATGTCCTTTTTGTTTTTTTTTGCCTTTGGTAAATTCTGTTAGTGATATGTTGCACCCCCAGGATTCCCTGTGACTCTGAAGGTTCCTGCTGTTTATAACTACCAAATAGGCCTGGAAAATGATGGTTTGTTCTCCTGCTTGATTTCAAATCCCACCACACACCCTTCCCCCCCAAAAAATAAAATCATTAAAGAGAACAAATGCAACCACATGCAGCCCACAGTTTCTGTATTACTAGGAGACAGAAAACACTGTGCCATTCACATATTTTTTAGAGCTGTTTTTTGTTCTATTTCTTTCTGGAATATTTCCTTGAGTATATTTACAGATTTCTATGGAATTTTCATTTGGGCAGTGATACTTTCAGTTTCTAAACACTATTTCTTGTTCTCGGAACTTCCTTTTTATGGTGTCCTCTTTGCTTTATGCATATAGTTTTGTCTGAAATCTCTCAGAGAATACTAATTAGAATTTTTAAGTTAACATTGTCTTCGGTTTCCTGGCTTCACTCTTTTTCCTTTGGAGTTAGTGGTTTTGTTGCTCTTGGCCTTTTTCCTTACATGCTGCTAGTTTTCCTTTGTGTGTCTGTTTATATTTAAAGTTGATGGGCTCATTTGGGGTGGGTGGTATGGATTTCCTCTGCTGGGCACAGGTGGGCCACCTTCAAGGACTCGCTGTCTGCTTTAGGGCTGGAGTTGGGGAGGAAAGTGGAGAGGCAGGGCAGGAAGGGAGGGTGTGTGAAACCCCCAGTTTCAGAAGGGCTGCATTCTGGGGTTCCAGAACCCCCTACTGGTTCATCCTGAACAATTAATATCATTTGGTTTCTTTGGTGGTTCAGTTTGCCTGGGTAAATGCTCGCCTGTCCCTTGCCCTGACAAAGGGATGGGAGGGTGGTAGCAGTGTCCTGACTGTAGCCAACCTTTGTTAACTCCCTCTCATGGGTGTTCTGAGCAGCCACCCTTGTCTGTTACTGTGCTGAGGTCTGCAGGAGCCTATTGCAGCCTCTTGCTCTGCTGGCTGTTGCCGGTTGGCCAGGTTGGAACTTCTGTGAAAGTGGGAGCAGCAGAGTTTAGTGGGAGGCCTTGTGGTGAACCAGTCACCTAGGCTATGGAAGGTGCCCAGTCTGACCACCTCATGTTATGGATGACACTGAGCTGGGTTGGAATGGTGACAGGGTACTTGGGTTTGGAAATCTTCCCCTGGCCCTGCAAGGGTGTAGGGCCCTGGAGTTCAGCTCCTATGGGGACAGCTTGGGTGGCTGGACCCTCATAAGCCTATAAGCCCTCCTGGGCCCTTGACTCTTTCTTCCTGGCTCCCAGTATCAGGGCCTGAGGACAGGCCTGTTCTCCTCACAGGCCAGGGAAAGCTGGCCTATGTAGGCTGTTGGGTGGCATGCTCTGCCGTGTTCTTTGGGGGACAACTGCCAGGGTCCTTGGGCCCTGCTGCCACAGCACCTGAGTTGCTACCATTTCATCCTGGGAGATATCTGTTGCCATCCCCTGGTGCAGGCTGGAGGGCACTGAGAGGGCACACCTCTGTCCTGACGATTTGTGGCAGGGGCTGGTGGAGATGGGGCACAAAGGAGGGACCACAGCTAAGGGTGGGAGTGGCAAGGCTGAGGAAGAGCAGCTGTGGGGTTTTGGGGCCCCTCCCCGGGGTGGCGTGGATGGCAGGCCCAGCCCTCCGCAAGCCTGTGGGCCGCACAGAGACTGACCCTCTCTCTGCCTTGTGCCCCCCAGGTGAGAGGCCCTTTGCCTGCAGCTGGCAGGACTGCAACAAGAAGTTTGCGCGCTCGGACGAGCTGGCACGGCACTACCGCACACACACGGGCGAGAAGAAGTTCAGCTGCCCCATCTGCGAGAAGCGCTTCATGCGCAGCGACCACCTGACCAAGCACGCACGCCGCCATGCCAACTTCCACCCAGGCATGCTGCAGCGGCGCAGCGGGGGCTCGCGGACCGGCTCCCTCAGCGACTACAGCCGCTCCGATGCCAGCAGCCCCACCATCAGCCCGGCCAGCTCGCCCTGAGCCCGCCTGGCTGCCGCGGGGCAGCCCCGTAGCACAGCCCCACCAGCCTGTCCGCGGGCCTGGCCGCCGCTGCTGTCCGGGGCCCCAGGCCGAGGACCCCTCCCATACCACAGCCATGAGCCGATGCTCTCACGTACTCTAGTGATTCCGTGTCTTCTCCTTTTGTACTAAGAAGAGAGAACTTGGTCAACAACAAAGCCCCAATTTTCTTCACCTCAGGTGTCAAAGTAAATTTGTAAAAAAAACAAAAAATTTTCAAAAAACACCATCCACAAATTGCACAATAGACATAGTCACGAAGGTGAGATTCAGCGGTGTTGAACCCCCCCTTTCTCAGGGATGGACATCTTCCATGAGGTCAGTGAGGACACCCCTTCCTGCCGCCTTATTCTGTACATAGATTTGCACTCTGGAGTTTTCTGTTAGGTTGGGAACACACTGGCGATGGAGCAGGCGAAGCAGTGCAGGTGGAGCTCAGCGTCTGGCCTGCAGGTCAGTCCGTTGGTCCGGCTGGAGCAGGCGGGCTCACTGACATTTGTGCTTCTGGGGCAGATTCCTGAGCAAGGGGCCGCACGTCTCCCCCCTCCTGCCCACCCACCCAGCCTCCAGCCTCTGCTCCCAGGGGCCCCACCGGGCCCAGTACATGAATGGTTCAGAGGGATGCCTTAAGCTGTGCTGGGCAAAAGAAGCACCGCACCTGGGGACACTGCAGAGGCCCCTGCCCTTCGTGGGGCTCTGCGCATCTCTCTCTGCCTCCAGGAGCCCCTCTCGGGGGCCTCTTGGAGCACTGGAAGGAGATGCAAGCTGCAGGTGGGCAGACCACTGCACCAGTGGTCATCCGCCGTGACAGCCTGGGCCGTGAGGTGCATGCCGCACACGGGGATGACTGCTCACTCTGTGTCCCTGCAGAAGGCACACAGGGACCTTTCACTTTGCCGTGTTCCCTGGCCAGAAAATAGAGCCTGGAAATCCGGTCATCTACAAAGATGTCTGATAGTGTTGGTGCACCCGGATCCCTTGTTCCCAGGATCGGCCCTGCTACCAGGAGCCCTTTGTTTGAAACAGTGGGTAAGGTGGTCGGGCTGCCTTCCAGAGGCCCTGTGTGTGTGCCTCGCAGAGACCCTTCTGTAGCAAGAGACCGGAACATTGTGACTTGGAACTTTTTTGGGAGAGGTGAAGCGATGTTATGGGAAATGCTGTTGGAGCACGTGCATTCTGTTTCCTCCCCGGGGAACAGCAGACAAATATTGTGGGAAATGCTCTCAGACCCACCGTGTTCCCAGCTCAGCATTAGCAGACCTCCAGCTTCTCTGCAAGCTCTGCATCCGCCAGACTCCTCCCTCTCCCTCCATTTCTCCCCTCTGCCTGGGAGGCCCCGGCCCACACCCTGCCTGCGGCACATTAGGGCTCAGAGGCCCCGTTGCCAGCCTTCTCCTGCTTGGAGAGGAGGAGCAGAGAGCTGGGCATTTTCTCCTGGAGCCCCAGCCTGAGCTGGGTTGGGGTTTGAGCCCCAGTGGGTCAATCAGGCTGGGCTCCTCTGCAGACAGTTGGGGTTCCAGTCCCATGCTGCTGCCCAGGCACTGCCCTTCCCTTAATCCTGAGAGTTGGGGCCTGTAAATACAAGCCCCTAGGACAGAGAGAGAGAGAGAGAGAGTGTGTGTGTGTGTGTGTGTGTGTGTTGGGGCAGGGGTGTGGGTGTATGGGTTTAAGGCAGACTTAGGGTATCTTGCAGAGACCTCTGCTCATTTTGATGAGGAACGATCCATGGGACCTTGGAGGGCCACACATCGGCTTCCTGGGCCCAGAGTGCCTTGGTTGTGGCCATCCTGCTTCCATCTGCACCCTAACACGGCATGGGGTGTAGCACAGAGAAACTCAGAGACCTGGCTTTGCTCACAGCCCTTGGTTGATGGGTGCCCTTTGTCCGTAGTGACCCCGAGGGTGGCACTCTGCTGTCTGCAACCCTCCAGGTGCCCATTTCTGACTAAACTGTGTGTGGGATGGGACTGGCCAGTGGCTGGGTGGTGGCTTCTGAGTAGCATGAGCAGTATCAATTGGGCAATAGTTTTGTTCTTGCTGTGGAAGGAGCCATGTGGGAGCAGTGCAGGGTGGGTGGCCTCCACCCTGGCCAGGCACAGGGCTGGCTGCCCTGGCCACTGGGCTCCATCTGGGCTGTGTGACAGCCCTGCTTGCATTTGGTCTGGGGAAGAGAGTGGAATACGCTATAGAGACCTGGACAGGAGAGGGCCCCAGGTGCTTGGAGTGGAGCTCTTCATGCCAGTTCCAAAGTCAGGCCCAGAAGGGCCCTCAGAGGTCCCTCCCAAAGCTGTTAATGTGTAAGGCACAGAAAGCCACACTCTGAACACATTTCATGTCTCAGGAACTCACATTCCAGATTCAGGAATTTTATTCCAAAGTCCTTTGGTGTGCGCACTGTCCACCGGGCCCCTGAAGGCGGGGAGAGGGAGCTGCGTGTCTCTCAGAGGCCGCATGGCGCCGTCCCCTGGAGGAGCCGGGCGTCTCCTTGTGATCTGCCCACGGCATCTCGGAAGGAGAGTTTCTAACCCTGTGTCTATCTGCACGTGAGAAGGGGAAAAAGGACTCTAAACCCAGTCATCTGGAATAAAAGAAGAGCTGGTTTGTTTTAGAGGCAGGGTGGGGGGTGGGGGAGGGAAAGCGGGCATTTGCTGTTTCCAAAGAGAGCACTTAATTTAATTTTTCCTCTAAATGACCCAGGGCTGTTCTGTCAGATAGATGGAAGGGTAACATTGCCTTAAACAGAAATATGCAGGCATAGGCTATTTTTGGCAAATGAGCATGTCTTCATTCCCAAAGTGGTTCTTGCCTAATGGCAGGGTGCAGTCCTATTGCCATGGTCCTAGCTTGCAAGATGGGACGCTGCTCTTCTGACTGAGGTCACCTGGAGGGAGTGCCTGCCTGGCACTCCTGGGCATTGGCCTGGGGCTCTGGCAGCAGACCATCTTGACTCACCTCATCTCATATCGGGCAGGAAAGATTCGTGAATCTCAGGCAAGGCTCAAATGGGCTCTCACTAGCATCTCATCATCATGGAATGTGGAATGCCTGTAAAAGACGGTGGTGGGCCTGGGAAAGGTGCCTCCCCACCAGCACCCACCAAAAGTAGTCACAAGAGGAGGGTGCTCCTGAAACAGCCTGCATTTTCTTCTAAGATGTAGAATGTCTTCCCAGCCTGGGTCTCTTTCAGGGTCTTTCATTTTTCTGGTTTATGGCCATGCTTGCTGGCTTCCGTGTGATTCAGGAACCCATAGGACTTGTAAAAGAAGGGTGAAAACTCACACTTTGGTTTGTGGCAGACTCCAGTTCTTGCAGGCCAAGGGGACAAAGATCTCAAAATGAAGGTTGCTTGTGAAGGCAGAGTTTCCCTTCAAAAAGGCCCAAAAGTGATCCTGGATTCAACCATCAGGGGGCTCATGTCCCAAATAAGAAAAGCCCTCTCATCAGCCATATTAGGGGACCAGTTGTCAGCTCCCCTGCATGCCTATGGAATCCTACAGCCATCCAAACAGACACAAATGGACGCAGCTCTTTCCACAAAGGGCCAGGGATCCTCTCCTGTTGGGTGCTATGTAAGAATGGGCAGTGATAACCTTGATGGAAATGTGGCCCTAGAGGTGTCCTACCTGCATCTCCACCCATGGCATTTAGGGCGCAGGACACCCACCTTTATTCTGAGGCCATGCATCCGGGCAGGTGCAGGGTTTGCCATGGTGCAACCTCCAGGTGCAGACAGCAGCACTGGGGTCCCCAGGTCTCACCGTGCCCCAGGTCAGAGTGCAAACCAGTGAAGGGTGGTTCGGAGGTGGGACAGACCACAGGTGGCCCCCAGCCTGCTAGCTGGGAAATGTGGAGAAGGCTGGTGGCCTGTGGTCCCAAGTGGAAGTGTGGCAGAACTGGGGTCTCCATTCAAGTCTCCTGCCCAGCCCCGAGTCTCCAGAAGACCCAGCCTCTTTTCCTGCCAGAAGCAGGTGCTAAGGCTGGCTGCAGAGGGCCACACCCCTCCCCGGGGGCTTCCGCGTCAGTCTCAGTGAGCAGGACGGCCGGCTAACGAGAAACGTGATCTGAGCAATGGCTTCCCCTTGTTTCTTGGCTCCTCGTTTGGCTGTGTTTACAAGGCTACCTGATTATTTTGACTGCTGACAGCTATCACTGATTTTTTTTTTAACTCATTTTTTAAAAGTTGCACAAAGACAGTGCTAGAAGACTTAAAGGGTCTGATGTTACCTGTCACATCTCAACCAGTAAGAAATGATGGTAGGCCATGCGCATCTTTTGCTATCCAAAGATTCCACATACGATTTTGGTGACCATATTTTCCAAAGCTAAAATCAAGGATATGGGCTGACACTCCAGGATCTCTCTGGGAAGAGAAGGGCTAACTCCAATTACTGATTTTTCTGATTCCAAGGCTAGGTTTCAAAGCTTTTTCCCAGACACATTCCAGAGAATTTTGTTTTAGAATATGGATAAACAATCCAGCTTACTACTGATCAATGCCTGGACATTATTTAGGAAGACACTCTTCCCCACACTGTCTTGTCTTTCATCGGAAGAGTTGGGTTTGGTGGGAGGCATGAGCTCCGGGCCCACTAGGGCAGAGGGGCCACACTTGGTTTCTACTGATCCCCCTACAGCGAGGTCGGACTTGGGATGTGGCCACCTGGCCCTGCCCAGCCCCTCCCCTTGTCACACAGCTTTAATACCTTACTACTTTTATTTAAAGATGAACAGGATGGGAGAGAAGGGGTGTCCCCTGCTCCCATGTCATACATACTCTGTGGGGACACAGGAAGCATATGGAGGGCATGGGGTAAAGCATAGAAGCAGCTTTCTCCCAGTGTTCAGGGGCATTTTCTTAGTGACATGTTGACAGGCTGCCGCACACATTCATTTGGGAGCCAAGCATGTGAGCTGAATACCTGCAAGATAACTACAGGCCAGGCTGAAAGCTGGCCCTCCCTCTCCAGCCGTACCAAGCCAGACCCCTTCCAGACTGCCCTACACATGGGGTAAGGGAGCCACTTCCCAGCCTGGCTCAGACACCACTTGGGGGTCTGGGTGGGGGCTATGCCCAGGTGCGTGAGAGACCTTGCTTCCTGGCCTCACCTTGGAGGGTCCCATGTGCCGAGTGCTACAGACCCCGAGGGCTTGGGCGTAAGGTCTGAGCAGCTATGCACTGTCAGGTGAGGGGCTTGGTGCCTCTCCCATGTGCCTGAGAATTGCTGGTGGGGGTGTGCTGGGTGCATGCCTTGGCCACCCCTAGACTCACACAGATGACCCCTTCCCTGTTCAAAGCCATTGATGGAGCTTCTCTGGACTCGTTTGCCAAAATCCCAAGGCAGAACCCAAGGGTCCAAGACCATTTCCATGGAGCACACATTTTCCTGTTCTGTAGGAATTTTTTTTTTTAACCAGCACCACACCACGCTTCCGAAAGCCGTGTTTCATCTCTCCTGGATCACTACAGTGAAGTATTACAGTCATATAGTTCCCAATCTGGCCTTGGCTTGCTCGGACAAAACTTTGTATGTATTTTGTATGGCATAGATTCTATATTGTAATGATGTCCTATGCAAAAAGAAAAAAAATTAAATTGTAAATTTTATCGTTTTAACGTGTATGCATGTTTAGTGACGTTTACATTTTGAAATAAAATTTATGATTCATTATTTTATTTGTCGGACCTGGTTCCTGGGAAGGGCATGCCTTGGGGAGGCTCTGGTGTCGGGGGAAGGGAACTGCAAGCCAGTCGGCTGTCTGTAATTGGCTGAGAGGGCCTAACACAGGGTGGAAGGCTTTGCAGAGAGTGGGTGCCCCTGTGGCTGTCCCTGTCCTCCTACCTGGGTCCACTTCAACTTGTCACATTCCCTCCCTCGACCCATCCCCCACTCCCCCAAATAAAGCTCAACTTCATAATTCCATCCCTAAGAGCACTGAGGAGAAAAACAGGACCTTGGGGAGGCAGTGATGACAGGTTCCTGAGCAGGATAACTGTCCCTAAAACTCCTCATAAATACCTGAACTTCCTCTCCCAGGGCAGCAGCCACGTCTCTCAACCCTGGTTGGCCTCCGAAGTTCTGAAAGTCTATCGGCCCGCACTCGCTCATCGGGACGCCTGCGCCTCTTGCCCCTCTGACCAGATTCCACAGAACTGCCACTGAAGTCCCCGAGGTTGGCCCCGGGACCTGACCCTGAAGCATGCAGCCGCAAGGACCAGGCCAGCATTGCAGGGACAGGGCCGGGAACCCTGCGGTCTGGGTAACAGAACAGTGCATGTTGATACCAGCACTTTAGTCTCCTGGGATCATTAACCATCCCTGGCTGCCCCCACCCTGTCCCAAACAGGGTATTTCCAAATCAGGCGATGTAAAAGCTGCAGCTGAGGAGTGGGTGATGGGTCTGGCCTGAGGCCTGCACCCCCAGAGTGTGGAGGGAAGGTGCCACCCCACCTCGCAGTCCCCCTCCAGGAACAATCCCAGGCCCGCATCCGGGACTGTGAATGACTCTTAACAGCAATTGTTGATAGTGAGACAGGGACCGGGGATGTAGTCAGAGGAGGGTGAGGGCCTCCGGAGGGGGCAGGGTGGGATATTTGCAGTCAGAGCAATGTAACTACATGCAAGGAAACCCCCCTGCTAAAACTCTATGTTAAACATTGAGCTCTAGAATCATTCTTCAGTGAAATCAGTTAATGTTCCCCAGATAAAGAAGAGTAGCACATGTTTTATTATGCAAACCATTTATAATCATGTGTAAGGTTCACTTGAGCATGCTAAAAGGCCCAGGCCTATGTGCTGTCTTTCCTCCAGATCTGATGAAGTGATTTTGCAAACTGGGCAACTAATTTAGCAAGTAAGCCCAGGCATAAACAACACAGTAAAAGGCAGGAAGGATTCCACCTTAAAGATAAGATTGCCTTTTAATACCCAAGAAGTTAAGATGTTAGAAATTCTTGACTTACTCTTTAGCAAACAATACCTCAGCCCACCTCGGGGGCTGAGCAGGTGGCCTTGTTTCATATGCTCCCAGACCAAGATGCTGGTATCTCAGGGAGAAATCATCAGAGGACGTTACTTGTGTTAAGTTAATTCTAAATATTCAGGGACCACTTAACAAGTCCACATCCCTAAGTTTTTTGCATGTTCTCAAAAAATCCTCCGCTGCCGTAGACAACACACCACTACGGGCTCTCTTGTCCCCTCCTGGCGTGAGCAGGGAGCTCTGTCCTTTCACTGTATCACTAAATAAAAGCCTGTACCTTGCTCTCCTACCTTGACTGTTTGTGAAGCTCATTCTTGGGCTCCGCAAACAAGAACCCCGGCATCAATAGGGTAAATGAATACCTCAAAGAAATGTAAGAGCAATAATGACAAAAGCCATTGCAATTGATCAAAGACAGTTTTTGCTAAAGCTCAGTCTACCCAAGGCATTTCCTGATAAAAGCTGTTTTCTGCATCAGAGTAGAAGGGGGTGTGAAATGAATGCATCCAACCTCATACTGAGCTGTAATGAAAACAAATGCACCGTTTTCAAACAAAAGGGATTTTGGAGCCAAGATAGTTGGAGCCCAGTGTCCGTGGACCATTTTGCCGGGGCAGCAGTTGTTCTGCCTTCTCAGGAGACAGTTCTTTTGGGCTCAGGAAGGAACTCCCCAGGTCACAGCAAGGCGGATGGATCCGCTTCTGTAAACAGTTGTGTGTTGAGAGTTGCCCTTATGCTTTAAAAATATTGTTGGGGAAGAAAAAGCAGCCCTCGGTTGTGATGTCGCTGTGAAAGTTTTCAAGAAGCTGGCAGGTTCCTGCTGGGCTTCCCTTCCAGACCATGGGAGCCTGGTATGCAGGGAACCCCCATCCCAGGAACAAGAGGTCTCCTGAGACCTTGAGAGTCACCCCAAGTCGTGTAAAAGGAAAATACTCAAGCAACAGGTTTTTCCGGTACTTAGAAAACAAATGTATTAGTGTGTGTGGTATAAATATAGCACATAAGCAGTGTGGGGGGAGGGTCTGTGGTGCTGGGGCCTTAGGACTGAGCCTACACTTGGTGTCACTGAGTGGGCAGCCCCTGGGCACTCAGGCCTTCTGGATTTTTATCAGGACTCAGGTTATCCAGGCCCGCCTGGATAATCCAGGACAATCTCTCCCCCTGTCCTAACCCTCATGTCCTTCCTGCTTACCCCCTGAGCCCGCGAGAGCACAGCTGCAGCTCAGGTGCACTTAGAGAAAAGCAGGGCTTGGCTAATCCCGGCGGCAGTCCCCTGCAAGGGCAGAATAAATGTGGTAAAGCCAGCTGCACTGAGCTGCTTCCACCTGCATTTTTGGTCCTTTGTAGCATTTTCCTTCAGTGCTCTTTTCCATTACAAAGTTCTGAAGAGTAGAAATAGGAGCAATGAAAATATCAGTCGCTGCATTATGGTTCACAAAAGAATGGTTGGTCCCCGCACACAGAGAGGTCGGGTGTTAGCGCCAGATGCACCCAGACGTGGCTTTCAGCTGGGAGTGCTGCCCAAGCAGCCCCAGAGAGCTCCTCCCTGGGCCTCACCTTCCCCATCAGAAAGTGGGCTTGGCTCGGGTCTGGACAGGGCCGTTGCAAAGTTCACGGGGAGGCACCGATGTCAGGTGGCGAGTCAGCTGGAATCGTGCCAGCGCCCAGATGTGATTAGGGCTGGCCTCCACCCCCACTCACAGTCTGCGGCAGCTCTGCGGCTCAGGCCCCCCTCTAGGGCCCTCCACACAGCCCAGTAGATCCCTTTCCCCACAGGAGGCTCCTATGCAGCCATGGCCGCCCGCTCCTGGCCTGCAGGGACAACCGGCTTGGGGCAGCGCAGTCATCACCCTCTCTCCCCAATGAGGAAATGAGGCTTGGGGAGTGAGAGGCCGGGGAAGCAGCATTTGGTGGTTCAGTCTGTTTCTGTACCCCTGCCCACCCTCGGCAAAGCCTCTTCCATTCCCTGCTTCACAACGATGGGGCAGTGAAGTACTTTGTAATCTTTCAGGAGCACTGAGCGAGTATCAGTGAAAAAATAGCAATAGGATTCACATAACCAATAAGCTTCCCCTGGCCCCTCCGAGGAGGAGGAGTCAACACACACCAGCCATGCAAGGGCTGCCGATGGATCCGTCACTGCCGTGGGAAAGCGGTTTGCTGAGTGCTGGCTCTGACGCACGTGCCTGTCTCCTGCCCTTCCTAACCGTAAGCACACACTGGCTAACTGAGCTGACTGCTGGCCCCAGTGGGCAGGACACTCAGAGCAGGGTGGGTGGCTTGGCCAGGGCTCTGCAGCAATCCCAGCCATGGTCTAGGACACTCCTCATATGAACTAGCCATGCTGGAAACACCAGCTGCTAGTGCACGAACTTGACTGTAATACAAGCACAGACCCCAAGTCTGGAAGGGTGAGCACCTCCACTGTGGAGGGCCCAGGGCCGCACCCTAACACACACAAAACGCATGTCAGCGATGCTGGGCTTGTGCTGGAGGTGGGGTCAGAACTCACACTTCCATTCCATATATTCTTGTGAATGCAGCAAATATCCAATAATAAAAAACTTACAAGAACATTATCTGTTAGAAATACCAAAATGTTTAAAATAACGTAAATAGAAATAGGGGATGAGTTAAGTGAACTATGTGACATACAATATCTGCAATATCCAATATATTATTAAGAAAAAAAGGCAGGTTATAAAACAATATGCAAAATATAATCACATTTTATTCAAAAAGGTTCTCTCTAGCTGTATAATTGTGCTTATTTTTACATGCATACAAAGCATACTGGTAAAAGACATAAAATTCATAAAATTCAAGCAAAACTCTTAATACAAAGCACAGACTATTTTTATTTACTTATTTTCTGAATTTTCTGAATTTTCTGAATTACTTTATTTTCTGAATTTTCAAAACTCTTGGAGTATAACTTTTGTGATTAAAAACTGCTCTAGTCCTATTGTGAAGCTAAGAGCTTGCTGAAGGGAAGGTGGGGAGAGCCCCCGCACCCCCAGGAGATGCCTGCCAGTGTCTATGGCTGTGCTGACAGGAAAGCAAAACCTGATACACGCCAAAGGCTTCTAACGGGCATTCACAGCAGGAGGGACATGGCCAATGGCTGCCTGAACAGCAGTGCAAAGGCACGACGCAGAACTGGATACATTGACCTGGAAATATCCCCAAACAGTCTGCACACAGAAAGCAAGCTGCAAAAAGGATGTGCTCTGGTGGATTAACACACTGTGATCACTGGAAAACGCGGGGAGTGATGACCCATACCGCTTGTGCGTCCACACTCATGGGTCAAGAGTAAGAAACAGGTGGGAAGTCAGGGCGAGGTGGCACGGGGGGCCTGTGGGTCTCACCTGTACATGCTAGGTGATGGCAACCAAAGGGTTTGCTCTTTCTGTGTATTTGCTATAGGTGTGAAATGTTTGAGAATTTTGCATGGTCCATGAATGTGTGTCACTTGGGCTTATCCAGGCAGGCCTGCAGGCAGTCCCTGTGATGCGCAGCCCGGAGCCTGCTGAGATGGCTGCAGGCTGTCCCCTGCATTGGCCGCTGGCTGGGACATAAGCTGCGTAACAAGTAAAAATAGAACTGCTCCCACCAGCCCAAGGGAAGAGGGTGGAGCTCCAGCTTCTCTCAGGAAGCCTCTGAAAGGAGAGAAGGGTTCCTTGAT